GGGGTATTCTGGAAATAGAAAGAGGTTCGGTCCCGCCCCCCCCCCCCCCCCCCCCCGTACCCCGCAAAGGAAATTCGAAGACCATTCAAGTTCCACCCGCCAGTGGATAAAAGACAGACGGGTGAAACATGAAGAATTGCCGTACAACACAAACCCCACCCCCTATTGCTCCCAAAGCATTTTTAATGCAACTGCAGCAGCATTCAGTGACCAACCCTTTTCCCGAAAATAACCAACCAAAAAGAAGGGTTCACGGTGATCTCGAACGTTTCCGTTCAACACGCAAAACCTCCTATACTACATGCCTTACTATTCCACAGCACAAAAGCGGAGTAAACGAGAATTCGTCCGTCCGGCTCCTCCCCACGCCGTCGGCGGACACAAGCCTCTACAGACATGCCCTGCTTTTTCAATAGCAAAATATATGTGGACGTTTTGAGTTGAGTCTGGAAGCATGCCCTACGCCTTCCCAAAGGAATGAGGATTGATAGTCCCAAACCTCATTCCAGCGAAATTTATAAACGCACACCCTCCCCCGGTCCACAAATCACAACCACACCTCCCACGAATAGGTAGCCCCCGTGCGCTCTGGCGGCAACGTGATGCTGCCGGGATAAAGACGCAGGTCGCGGCACGCATGTACTCGCGCGAGAAACCACCTACTGCCGAACGTAATTTTCCACAATAACTAAAACAAGCAACACAACACATACAGGGCACCATCAGAACACAACGGATGCCAAAAAACACACACAAAACACGCAAGAGGAAACACGGCAAGGCGCGTGAGCGGGGTTCTCTATTGTCGCTGGCAGCCTCGCTTTGCCTGAGGAGTGGAACAACAACAAACAGCGCGCCAACGCTCTCTTGTTGGGAAAAAATGACTCACGAAGCGTGCTACGAACATTGGGCCACGATGAGTGAAGAGAGGCACCATACAGTCCGGGTTTCACGCGGAAGCTTACACCCTTTCACGCATCAAGCACACGGCACAAGCACGGCAGCAACGCAAAAATGGGTGCACGAGAGACACCACGAGGGACGGGAACAATCCAGCCAGCTGTGACAAACAGCGAACCGGGATATTAAAAACATGCCAAAATTCTAAAAAAATATAGTTTACGTACACACCCACCACGTGGACAACAAACCCATCCCTGAGAACCCTCTCGACCAACCCAGCCTAAATCATGACTGCTACCGTTATACCACCAGTCACCGTTCCACTCAAAAGCCTGCAAGCCTCCTTCCCTCGAATAGGCAGGTGGTATATAATGCTTCATGACCCAACAAAACGAGAAAACACGCAAGCCAGAGAGGAACAGGAGTCAAGTCCAGCTCGAGCGAACTCACAAGAGTGCAAGCAAGTACACAAGCGTGGAATGTACACAAGCATGCAATGATGATGGCGAACCAAACATGGAGCAAAACATGAAAAACATTACAAAAGTGCAGGTCTCTTTTTTTAACAAAACCAAGGAAGCAAACCTTAAAACGCGTATTTTCATCCGAAAATCACGTTCGTTGCTGGTAGGAAATGCAGAAAAAAGGACCAATACCCTGAGCCCCTACACGGGGGAATCTCGCTTCGTGTCGACACTCCGTCCGCTTCTCATACGGTAGGGCAGACGACCCTTCACGTGGATTTACACAACCGGGTCCGCCGTGGCCACCCCCGCCGCCTGCTCCTCCCGCTGAAGTGAAGTGGCACCAGTAGTCGCGATGAGAATAAAGCAGGGCGCCCCCATGAGCACCGCCGCTGCGGCAGTTTCTTCGACGCCCGCAACTGTCGCAAACAGTATGTAACTTCGGTGCAAAAGCAGTTTTGCATCAGCGTCAATGCCCGATTGCCACGAGAAAATATCCGCCGGTCATCCCACCACCGAAACCAAGCTGCCGCCGGTCCGACCAGCCAATCAGCACGACGGGTCGGCCGCATAAAGCTCTCCAGGCGTGCGCGATGGCAGCGCCACCCCCTGCTGCTCCTCCAGCAGGCCGTCGTCGCCTCACTCATTGGTCGAAGAATCAGCAGCAGCAGCAGCAGTAGCAGCATCTAGGAACGACTCCAGCCGCCCCATGACAGCCCCAAGCCTGGCCTCGATGCCCGAAAATCGCCTCGACACCTCGCGGCTTACCGCGTCCTCAATCGCGGCAGTGTCAACGCCGATACCAACATCGCCGCCTCCTCCTCCGCCGGGGTTCGCCATGAGGGACCCCGCAGACAGGCTCGTCGGCGTGGAGAAGGGGAAGGTAGCGGCAGAAGAGGATTGGTCGTCCGACTCGATCGACGCATGGCGAACCGCTGCTGAGTGTGGCTGTTGCTGGGGCTGCAACAAGTGCTGCTGTTGTTGACGCTTCTGCTGCAAGAATCCGTCGGGCAAAGGCTCCCTGACGGTGCTTTCGGGCCCGCGGCCCGTGCTATCGTGCTGCAGCTCGGTCCAGCGATCACCCACGGGTCTTGCGCCCTGCAACAGTTTTTTGTTTGTTGTCGGTTTTTCGTGACGAAAAACAAGAGGGAAAAAGGTAAACGAAAGAACCGGTTCAGCATGCCTTCAAGTGGAGACTCCATCGGGGAGTGAGTGAATGGGTGGCGGTGTTCGGACCCACGGATGCGAAAGTCCACACATGAGCGAAGCGGTTAAGATATAGCACCAGCAATATCTCCAGCGGCACCATTCGCAAGCCAGCAGAGTTATCAGCAGCGCCGGCCTCCCTCCAACGAGGCGGCAAAAACCGGTGTTTTCTACCGGGTCCTTCTCGTCGGTCATTTCAATAAAAGTACTGCTCGGGAAACCGTAGAAATACACGTAGCTTTCGCTGCCGCTACATGGATTCATTTCGACTGTTAAGACTCTTATCTATCGATAGAGAGGGATTCGTTGTGTCATATTAAGAAAAAAAAAATATATATATATATATATATATGACTGTAACAGATTTGTAAATTTTCTATTTTGGTTCGGTGAAAGGCGCTGGACTGTTCGAGTCAACAACACGCCAGCTGTGTGAGGTCTGAACTTGGGATTCGTCGCAGCTGGCATTCAGCTGTGAGTAAGTCCTGCTGCCTTCACCAACTGATGACACTGCTGCTCTCATGAGCCCACGCCGGAGGGATTACTTGTAGAGACTATAAATAGCTGCATTATGGGGGGCCTCAGGGAGAGGCACCCTTCTGTGTGAACCAAGGGATGGAGTAAACGGCACGATTATTTGAAATGATGACAAAAAAAAAAAAAAAACGGGAAGCAGCATAAAATACGAGGCAGGACCGGGCAACAACGCACAAGGGCATTCTGGCTGACTGATGCCGTACCGTGAGCGCCTTCGACTTGGAGACGAACGCGGACAAGACGTCGTTGGACAAGAAGTCCTCCTTCGCATCCGCGCACGACAAGGCGATCCTTTGAGTCCTGCAACACCAAGAACAACAACACGACGACGGCAACGAGGCGACAAGAAAACCGGCCGTCAGTAGGTCAGTGCTCTGTGATAACTCTAGAGCGTGCATGGCGGCGGATTACCTAAACGCGGACAGATCGTGTAACACATGTGTATATATATATTCCCATCCCGTTCTGGATGCGAAAGACAAATACTTTGGAGGATACAGGCCGGGGTCACAGAATACTTCCTCTGGCTCGACCGTCTTCACCTGTTGTTTCTAGAGAGGCCAAAACCAGCCCAGTGCACGCATAAAAAACATGCTGCAGTGTTTTTTTGAAATCGACTGCAGTGTTTTTTTTATAATCGACGGTACAGCGTTGTAAAATCGACAGGGCGCAATGCATTCCGGGCGAAATGACCACTCGAAGTACGAAGGGTGGTGTAGGTTCTACGCGTCCCATCTCTCTCTCTTCCCATGACCGTCGAGGGTGCCTCCAACAAAAACAGCCTCCCCTCCTGCCCGAAGCCACGCCGTGTGTATCTACCAGCTAGGGTCACCCTATCAGGTTCTCACCTTGATAGGCGCATATACGGCACAACCATCGCCCCCTTCTTACAATGGAACCGATCGGGACAGCAGTCAGGCATCAAAACGTGCTTGCTACCTTTCCGGGCCGCTCGCGCTCAACGCTCAACCACCAACATTCCGCCTATGAGAAACGGTTTCCATCGTAGATACCACACACAATTATTCCGTGTCTTTGAGAGAGAATGAGAAAGAAAAGCGCTCGACGAAATGTGCATCTCTGGGCGTGGTTAGCCGCGTTCCGCCAGTTTCATCTATGATTATCCTGTCTAGAGGTAAAATATGCCAGTTGCTTACTTAGCCTACGTCTCTACTGGCGTTTCGTCCGAAGCCACCTTTTGATCCCCGTGGTGTGAGCTACACAGACCCACCGTTGAGCGTACCATAACACATCTCTCTTCCACCCCCGCGGACGTTGAAGTTCTGCACTTACAGGCTCTTGGCAGCCTCGCGAAGTTCTTCCATCTCCTTGGGGTAGCTTTCCACCAGCATCGTGAAGTTCGCTCGAGACAGCCCGTGGCAATGCGCGTCCTTCTGGGCAACCACGGCCGTAATCTGCGCCGCCCAACGCCCGACACAAGGCGGCCGGAGACATCCCCACAAAAACGAGCTCAACGGCGGTTGGGGGGGGGAGGGCTCGACTACAAACAACAGAATCGACTGCTGTGGCATTATCTCGAAAGGGTACAATAGTCTCTCTTTGATTGTATGGATAATTTCGAGAAACAGCGAAAACAACACACGTGACAACCAAAATCGACAGCAGCTGCACCAACAACAACAACAACAACACAATGAACACCACCATACCCTGTGCTTCTCGGAGCTGGCAAGCCCGATCAAGCCCGCCATCTGGCCGTGCCTCAAGAACCCCACGCGCTCCTGCTTGTACTTGAGCATCACCTGGTGGGCAAAGCAGTCCGTGAGGGCGGGCGGTCGGTGGTTGTGTGCGAAGGAATCGGCGCATACGAGGAAGCCACAGGCACATGTAGGGTGGCGGGGGTGAGAAAAACGATGGTATGTCAACGAAGAGAACGGGGCGAAGAGAGGGAGGCTTCAGGGACATCACCTCGAGGAGGAAAGCAGGAGCAGCAGCCGACGGGCAGAGGAAACACCAACAGCAGCAGCAGCAGCAGCAGCAACAACGACAATCAATAATACCCGTCACCACAGCAACCACTACTCACGAGTCCACTGGCGATGAAGAACATTTCCTCCGGCTGAGACCCCCTGCTGTACAGCACGTCTCCCGCCTGCAAAATATCGGGTAGCATAAACAGTGGTGACGGTAGCATAAACAGTGGTGACGGTAGCAGAAACAGCGGTGACGGTAGCAGAAACAGTGGTGACGGTAGCAGAAACAGTGGTGACGGTAGCAGAAACAGTGGTGACGGTAGCATAAACAGTGGTGACGGTTTTCAAAAGCGATAAAACTCGTCTTGGGCCCGACGCCCGTACAATCGAAACACCAGCACAGCGGAGCCAAAGCAAACCAAGACAAGTGGGTCGCACCGAATGTCATACGAATTTTACTTGGGAGGGATACAATTAACCATTGCTTCTAGATCTAATCGTCGACGCCCTTAAGGGCAAAGGCTACCCTCGCTAGACGGAGACCAAGGTCGAGGTTGTAGTGTTACCCACTCCCCGGGGGCTGGAAATTTTCTTTCATGCGAATTGGGCAAGGAGAAAGGTCTCGGAAGAGAAAGAACGCTACCGAAGAGAGACGGCAGGGTATAGTCACAAGACTTCCCACTCCCCATCTCCGCAGGTGGCTTCGGGGGAGTAAAAATAACCAAAGCGGGGCTTCTTGCTGTCCAGCGATCAGCAAGATCCTGCCCTCAGACCGTGTCTTGCGATGCTACTCCTGTGTGTGCACTTGTGGTTACGTTGTCTCTACGCCTGTATTCCACACACCAGCTACTTTGGAATATACTTGGTACTTCGCCGTAAACTTTGGTAACGTTCGTGAGATATGACAAACAAACCCTTACAATAGACTGCTCATGAATAGCCATGAACACCTGGGACGCTTTCAGCTGTTGTGCAGTTGAAACTAAAAAACGGCTTCATTTATTCACACGAACAAAGACGAGAAACGAAATTAAAAAGAGAATCCGGTACTAGCCCCGCGTGGACTTGAATTTGAACGGGGCACCTTCAGGGTTGGCAAAAAAAAGGCACAAATCAGCAACCCCTTCCTCTCCCATCTCGCACCATGAAGAGGCGCGGCTTTAGCACGATCACCACGTCCGCCACGAAGTTCTTGTCCTTGCCCTCCAGCCACGGGATCTGGGCGATCAAGTTCGCGTGGACGTACGTGATGACGTCCGCCCTGAGGCCCGCCGGCATGTCGGACACCAGCTCTTGCTCGTTGAAGGTGATCCAGTTGTCCTGCCTGTACAGGGCAAACCTTTTTTGTTGTTTTCCGGAGCGATTTGTTTCCGACACGTTCGGGGGGCGCGGGCGACAATAATTAACGAGGCGGTCGGTCTCTCGGAGGACAAACAGTGGCCCTACATGGGGGTAAGAACAACCCAGCTGTGCTCGTGAATAGAGTCTGAGACGCAAATTTGATCATGTTTGCTTCGCTCGATGTTAGCAAGACATTTGGAAGGTGCGTGTAACCTAGGCCAAGTGTCGAGTTGGAAGTAGCTCTGTGGAAGAACCCACGGGACGCAGAGCATAAGGAGAGCGGCTACGGAGCTGGGGGGGTAAATAGCGTGCTCATGCCCGTAAACCTTGCTCCAGCCTCCACCAGAAAACTCCACTGACAGTCTTCAAGGAGCTGCTTTCCAAGTGCTGCCGGGCCTACCTGGCTATGCTTCGGCACCTCTTTCAACTCACGCAGATAAATACTGTACAGCGCATACATCTCCGAAAATACGTAAATACGACAGGCAGACCGCATGCGTGTGATTCCGAAAAATTACAGCAATCGATTAAGGACACCCAAGCAACATTTTTCGTCATCCCTAGGCAAAAGGTGTCCGCATAATTTCGAAAGCCTCACCGGAAGTGCTGTCGAACCTTCTTCGCCATTTCCGGGGGCAGGCCGGCAGCCTTGGAGAACGCTACCACCTCACGCATTTTGCTGCTCGAGCCCGGGTGCAGCAACAATCCCAACAGCAACGTGGGGACAACGAATATAGCATCAACGTGAGGTCACGTCGTGTTGAAGCGAAGGGGTAAGGGGGCCTCTGGTGTGAGGTCACGTCATGGGGGTAAGGACGTAACCGTGATATGGACGACACGGTTCTGGGTGTATCAGGCGACAACTAGGACCGAGACGATGACAGTGGTCTACACAACAGCACCAAGGTTGAAACGACCGTGACAGCAATGACAACAAAAGACTCTTCCAACATCCAACAACAACCAAGAAAAAAAAACACACACAAAAAACGACGACAAAAAACGCCGCCAGAAGCAACAAAATGCTCAAGCATGAGGGGCTTTTCACCACACGCACACACTTCTTACACACCTCCTCTGTTCCTTGTCCTTGCGGTCGAAGCTGTTGAGGATGGAAGCCCAAGTCCCGACGATGTACCCGTACCACGAAACACCCACGATTTGGACCGCCATGGAGTAGATCTGTGGATAGGGTGCCGGCCCCCGAACAAAACAACATGGTTCTGCTTGAGATAAAGCTGAACAGAGAGAGGGCAGAAGGAAAACCTATAAAGTTTCCCGCTTCAATCCACCACACCTTCGAAGAGGCAAAAATCAATGCCTTAGACATACCGCAATGCGACTAGGCGAACGCCCCACGGCCCGCCCGCCTGATCGGAGGCAATCGGAAAGGCGTGTTTCAATCCGGCTGTGCGCTGGTCGCCGGACGAAAATTTGCGACTGTCTTTGTCGATGACCAAAGACACCATGCTCGCCTAACACTAAACGACACGACGTATCGGTTCTCGTAGGACCACAGAGTGTACGTGTCCGCTCAACAAGGCGTGAAACCGTCGGTGGTACACAGGCACGTACCTAGACGTGCAGGTCTTACCCGCTATAGAGACACTCGGGATAGAAGCCAACTCCCCGCGCTAAAGACGAGATTTTTCAGAACCATCGTGCCCCGACATTTCAAACACGTATAGGTGGAGGTGGGGGGGGGCGTACTCTCATGTGTCGCATGCCTTCGCGGTTAGACCATTCACCGCGCACCCTCGAGAGGACGGAGCATTGTTCCCACAGGACCGATCACCGATGGCCAATCGTTCCTTCCTACTTTGCCAAAGGTGGCTCAAAATAGCTTTCCCTAGCCCGTCTATCCTATCAATATCACTTCCCGCCTTTTCAACCCACTTCCTGTGCCTCAGTACAGCTACCGTCTTCTCCTGGATATTCCGTGCCTCAAACATCTAAACATCTCCCAGTGTCTTCCTTCTACTTTTCCCAGCTCAGTCATGTACACTTCCCTCTCCTTGTACAACGAATATTCCGCAACTACACGAACCCGAACCCGGTGTTCGCACTCGGAGCCGCATTCACAAGTGAACTTGTCGTATTGATCGTCTACATACCTCCCGAAATCTTCGTCTACCGTCTCGTAGGCCAATGTCCCCGGTCCTAAGTTAACCTTCAGCCTTGTCCCTGCCCATCCATGTAGGTACTCCTTGATTCCTTCATACGATATTTCGTTAACATCTAGTCCCATTTAATCCTTTGTTTCTTTGGTTTGCATGTAGGAGGGGGGGTAATAACTTAGAAACGCTTCCCTGCGGTCAAGAGTCTGTAGAAAAAAAAAGAAGCTTGCGCGTCACTAAAATAGGGAACGACTGCTGCACCTGCTCAGGCGGGGTCCTGGCAGAGAGATCCCCGTAACCGACGGTGGTAAGGGTAGTCAGGGCCCAGTACACGCTTCCGAGGTACCTCCTGCCCATCGAGAGCGCTACGTAGTCGTTCCTGGCGTAGAAGAGACGGGAAGAAAATGGCGTTTAGTTGTTTTGTTTTGTTTCGCTTTCGTGTCCTCGCGTCTACGGTCTACTGCTTTACGTCTGCTGTGTGGAAGGAGGAGGCTAGGTTTTTCGTGGCCAAGCGGAAACAAAACAATAACAATGAACGCGCGATCGGCGTAGGTGAGAACGACGTTGGATCTGCGCCCACGTGGGCACACGCACACCTCTCTGCTGTTTCTAATTGGGCAAGCTCTCAACGGTGCTGAGAGCGGCCGTAGTGAATTTCGAAAACACCATTGTACGAGCCTTTCTACGTCTGGTCCATCTGTGTTACGACTACAAGCAACTTTCAGCCCTTCTCATCATCACTCGTAGTCGCTACACAATTCAACCCTACGATACCTCGCACGTAAAGTCAACGACAACGTCATTGGAAAACACATCCATCTGATGCGTTGCCCTTTCCCACAAATAGGCGTCCACATTCAGGGAAACCGCCGTATTATTTCGTGAAGACTGATTGGCTGCCTATTCGCGAGCTTCTTGTCCTTGGTCATCCGGTGAACGAGTTCGATGCTTACGACAACATGCACACAACCACACAAAAAAAAAGTGCACGCTCGAAGGCAGGCAGATGGGTGATGTACACGCCGAATCCATCGCTAATTTATCTTGCCCATGGAAACAGGTTGGATTTACTTGTTTTCGTGCCAAAAACACTCAAGTACACGCATGCACATACACACGCATACACCGGTGCGGTCGACGCACATCAAAGAAACACACACGACTTGAAGCGTTAACGTATTCGCGTTTTCTGTCTCGCTATGCGACTGCCGTCTGTCCAATGGTCAGCCGGTTAGCCCGGTCGATGCCAACAAAAACACACACACACACTTTCACACACACAGCACACCTGTAGATCCAGGGGCACTCGCTGGCGATGTAGTCACCGGCAGTGTACTCGAGGCCGTTCGCGAAGACAAACTCCCCTTCCGGAAGTCCTTCGAAGTACAGGTCCTCGCACTCCGTGCTCAGCAACGTCGCCAGCATGTACCACCCGCACCCGAACAGGTGGGCCGTCTGAGGTATGCACACGTACACCGGGAAGAAAAGACACGGAGAGGGGGGGGGGGAACCGTGTGTCATCCCCACTGCTTGTACGCCTTTTTGCAGCATACTTTTTCCCTATGAAAAGTTTTTTTTCTCTGCAGCGCACCGCCTGGGCAAAGGAGAAGCATCGGAAAAGAAGCTAGCGCTGCAACAGAAGAACGAGGACGCCCAGCTCGACCAATCCACCGATAAATGGAGCACCAGTTCACCACGAAACGATGCAAACCAGACTGTTTGTTCTATACCAGACCAGTTATATACCCATTTGTGGATATGTTGTCTGCAGCGTCAGCTTTACTCATTCAATCGTGTGAGAGGCACGGGTGGTTTCATCCATCATGCCACCGTTTCCACGAACACCATTGCCGTTGGAATGTCGAAAGCAACACTACCTCGCGACTATGGAGAGACGAGGGCTGAAAGCCCCGAAACACGCCCTCCTGACTCGTGATTTTCAACAAGCTCTGACAAACAAAAGGCTTCGTCTCCGTATATATGTACGTGCCTTCCAAGAAGCTGCTCCGCGGGGAGACAAACTAGACTCACCAACACTGCCACAGACAGAAGGGCGCGGAAAGCTAACAAAGCTTATGACATAACCCTCATGCTCCAAACCAGAACCTTCCATAACGCACAACATGAGGACGCAAACATACTTGAAGCTGTTGCGCGAATCAGTCACAAAACGACGCTGTCGTGCTCAAACACCCAAGCCCTCAATATTTACCCTGCTGTTATACTTTGCAGAACGAGGGAGGAACCCTGTGTGACCATGTAGCTACAGTAAATAGCTCCTACACGGCAAAAATGCTGTCACCGCTGATAAAACAAAAAAAAATGGAGTTCCCACCGAGTACCCGCCAGAAATGCTGTGAGCGTTGATTTATCGCGATGGAAAAAAAAAACAAAAAAAACATACACCTATCTCACCACGACCACGGACAGAAGAGTCCGGACGGCCAGAAACGTCCCCTCGTGGAGGCGGTGGTTCTCGTACACCATGGTCATGAGCCAGTACACCTGGAACATCTTGGGCAGGCTCAGCAGGTAGGCTATCTCGTGGTTGCCGTCTGCGCTGCCCGGTCCCAGGCCGGGGATGAAGGTAAACGGGAACGCCGCGAGCAGGTCCACGATCAGCGCGTGCTTGGCGTAGCGCCGGCAGATGGCCATTCTGGAGTAAACCACCTTTCGTAGTTCGTGGGGAGGGGGAGGAGGAGGACGGGGGGGTCAAGAGTAAACAGTACAGCCAGGCTGTTCATGATGATCGAAGGAGGAGCAGAGGTGGCCGTAGCAGCAGCAGCAGCAGCAGCAGCAGCAGCGATGGACATAACGAAAATCACGCCGCAGAGCAACTACAGCTGCACAAGGCAACAGTAACCAAACAAGAAGCAAAGCGAAACGGGAAGAGAAGAGGACCCCACAAAAACAGGCGCCGCAGCAGCCGTGGATGCAGATAAAAAACCAAGAGCGTTCGTCACTGAAACAAGAAAAAAAAAAAGAAAAAAGCTCACCTTGCCATCGGTGCCGTCGACGAAGCCGGTGTTGAGGTGAACTAGCACGTCGATGGCGAACACGAGGTGCCACACTAGGTCAATCCCGTACCAAGCCCCACTGCCACACAAGAGGAGACACACATCGATCGACACATCAGCAGGTGCCGGAAGCCACTCGCGTTCAACAAGAAAGGAAGCTGTGAACACAAGCCTGAAAGCGGCGAGGAGGAAACACTCTCAGGCCTAGATGTTCCACGAAAAATCGATGATATGGCAGTGAGAAAACCCGAGCCTAAGACCGAAGAGAGAGAGGTTGTCATATTTCCGTAGGTGTATGTGGCGCGATTTGAGAAGAAAGAGAGATCGCGAGAGAGCATGACCGCGGCAGCGTTTGGAAACAGTACGGCGCGCAACCTACCGGAATGCTCGCCGAATTGTTTGTCAAAGGAGCTACAATAGCGAAATGACTGCCACCGCGCGCGGGGTTCATCGGGGCAAAGCGGGTTTTGTTCACACACATACTTGCTTGCTTCTTCTTTCAGGTGAACGACTCTTCCAACAGCAGTCTTCACAGTTTTAACCACCAGCAAAGACAAAAAACGCAACATTTAGCAGAGACGAAGGTAGGACTTCTTGTCAACAATGTATGCCTACACGACCACAAAACCCTCGCCCTCCCTCGTCTGTTCGACCAAGCAATAAAAAAAAAAATCTCTGGAGTTTTACCTGTGAATAGAGACGGGATTTGTTTGGTTCTTGTGAGGGATAAGAATAAAAAATAAGGTTGACCCATAACGAGCTGCCATGGACTATTTAAAAAAATCCGTTGACAGATTAATTTATTTTCGGAACAAAAACTAATCTCCCCAACGGCAATCCAACGTGCTGCCACCACCACTTACCGTTCCGAGGGGAAGAAGGCGATTCTGATGGGGTTGTAGAACACGAAGGTGAGCAGCGCGACGAGCATGAAGGTCGCGTACCACCGCAGGAAGCGGAAGTTGGGCGAGAACAGCTTCTTGTCCACCCTCTCCGAGTTGTTGTCAAACGCGTCGTAGTCCGCCTCCGAATCGGAGAGCATGGCTTCGTCAGCCTCCGTCAACTGGGAAAAATATATATGTTATTAAATGGGGGGGGGAGGGCAGAGCACTACTCTTGTTCAGAAAACCTACGTAAAAGTCACAACAAGACTACCACTTCGACATAACCACGGTAGAAGGGGATGCGTTGTAGTCTTCAACGTGAATGGAAGAAAAACCGGCTGGATACTGGGCTTACTTGAGTGTTTAACCTACAAAAAACATGTTCGTAGTGTATCACCCAGAGCTTTGTAGTCACGCAAATTGGGTTGGGTTTTGAGAGTCCATGAAAGTCTCCGAGCGATAGAGCTATGAGCGCATTTTTTTTTTTTCACTTCAAATCAGCGCTCACAGCACTAGTGCCGTTTACTCCAACCCGTGGTCACACAGAAGAGCCCCTCTCTACCCTCCTCTCCTGCGGTACGTTGCCTTCGTTTAATGCGAGAAGAGTTCAGCACTCTCTTCCTTCTGTGTACACACGAACTAGCGCTATCCACTAGGTCAGGAGCGGAAGCGAGAGAAAAACTCACTTTGCAAGAAAAGCTCGCTTTCACGCCGGGATTCGAACCCCTGACCTGGCCTCTAGAAGGCTTCGAGGGTACCAACTAGACCACCGGGGCGACCGGGTCTTTACCGGAAGATAATAAACGAACCCCGGCAATATTTTCAAGGGCGGGGAGGGAGTGGGGGGGGGGGGGGGGGTGCACTCATAGTCGTGCATGCCGTAGTCGTTAGACCATTGACCTCGTATCCCTACGAAGCTGGGACGGAGCACGCCGGGTTCTCACCGGGCCAGGCTCTCACATCACCAAGCGCGAAGCGCCGTGAGGTATTCGGCGAGTCGCATGAAGGGTGCGCTTCATCCTGCTAAGGGTGTTCGGCATCTTGTGCTTACTTCCTTGCGTACGAATGACAGCTGCGCATGACTCAATTTACTTTCTGGTGCTTTCACTTCCAGAGACAGTTACAAGCACTATGTAGTGGCGGGGAGGGGGGGGGGGCATGGGAGGAGAGGCAGGTAGACAATGTTTTGTTTGTATTTATGTCTACGGATGCATAATTGGTTCAGAAACAAGAACAAAAGGGTGCGGCTCCGGGGGCGGCCTTCTATAGCATACATGTAGTGGGCATTACAGGCGTCACTCAGATCTTTTTTGCAAGCGGGAGGTGAGATAACTAGAGTATTCTGTAGCCGATTTTGGGATGGATCACCATCAACATGATACCACCGTCGCCATCACCATCCGATGAAAAACACAGATGAAAAGTCCTACACTATTCAATTAATAATAATACACCTTGCCGCGAGCCGGCATGCGTCGTTGGAGGCCTTGGAGGTCTGATGTGTTTCGTTGGTGGTGGCCGCGGTGACTGCGGGACATAGCGCTGTTGGACGAGAAGCTATGGCTGGCCTTCCTGAACATCCTGCCAAACGAGAAACAGAAGACACACACACAAAAAGCAAGATGAGACACAAGAAAAAGAATCATGGAACACAGAAGACAAGCTCTGGTCGGCTTCTTCGAAAACACGCTACCGAGAAGAAGACGAAAAACAAAAAACAGCTTCAACACCAGTCAACATGAAAACCAACAGCATCATCAACAACAACACACAGTGGAGTGTTGGTCCCTGAACAACGACGGCTGAATATCGCCGGTGCCATTCCCGGGGCACAGACTGAAATCACCAATCCATTCTGTACTTCGAATTGCGCCGGTCCCCCGAATAGCACCGGTCGGTTCGCCGGGAACAAGCAGGCGTTGTTGAGGGACCCACTACCGCAACAGACAACCTACAACTCACGCAAGCATGGAGCCTCTGCCGCTTGACTCATCCGTCAGAGATCCACGCATGCTGCCGCCCTTCGCCGCGTTAGCCCCGCCGGAGGAAGACGGGTAAGGGGACGGGGATGGTGGCGCGTCTGCCGTGCCACCACGAAAACGGATCGAAGAAAACAGGCTCTCGACAACGCTCCCGTTGGGCAAGTCCTGCGACAGGCAGAGAGAGAGAGAGGGGGTGAACGGCAGGGGGGGCGGGGTATGTGCAGGGGCGTACGTGCAAAAAGGCCGATCTACATGAAGCACGGGAGAGGAATAGGGTAGCATCCCACGGCAGTTTTTGATCCCGTGCTCTCTGGTGCTTGCTGTTTTCTTGGCCTTGTGTTCGACGGCCGATTACTTTGGTTGCCGCTGCCACACTGCCCCTGCTTCCGCTGCTGTCGATGTCAGACAGACCTAAGAGGACCGGGTCGATCACCCCACGAAAAGACCATTCGATGCTCCAGACCCACCTTCGACATCGCAGCCCCCTCTAACTCCGTCTTCGTCTCTGCCACCGCCTCCACCGCCTCCGCCGCCCGAATTCCCGCTCCCTGCCGGCCCTCTACTACCGTAGGCATCACGGACACGTCGTGGTTGGGCACGGGCACCATTGCTGACTGCGCGAGTTCTGCTCCCCCCTTCGGTGCAGCCCCGCCAATCCCTCCTATTGCAGCTTCCTCGTCTAGGAGGGTCTGTTTGCGACGGGCGCGCGCGGGGGGGGGGGGGGGGGGACCCTTTTAATTTTTAAAACCTTTACCCCCCGTCCCTACAAACCCCG